GCGCGCTGGGAGGGTGTCCGCGAAGGGACGACGCCCCACCCCATACCTGGAGCATTCCGGTGGCCACGCCCCACCAGATGCCCACAGAGGAGCACCAGCGACCCCCGAGCGGGCGGGGGGGGTGGGGGGGCGCCTCGCAGGCAGGGCCCCTCTCCACTTCGTACCCTGTTGCTTCCCAGGAGGGCAAATGTGAGGAGGGGGCAGGGGGTTTCCTTCGGGGCTGCGAGCCACACCCATTTCCCCCCTAGCCGACTTAGAGGGGGCGCTGAGGGGCGGTTGCCTTGGAAACCACAAGCGTCTTGAGAACGGCCTTTAGGCATAGCCCTGCCCCTTCTAAACGCAGATCAAGAATCTTGGGGTGCACGAAGCCGCGCCTGGGGGGGGGGGACTCTGGAGGGAGGCCCCCAACCCTGAGCCGGTGGCTCATCCTAAGTGGCTTCCTGCGGCCACAGCCACCAGACAGGCGTCCCGGAGGTATTTGTGGACGAGCACTGTTTTAGAAACGTGCGGGGTTTTCACTTCAGAGCCCAAATTCTCTGCCGCCCTTGAGCCGGGGAATGAGGGGAGGAGGATGGCTACTGACGACCCCTGGCGAGCAAGGCCGAGGCTTGCCCTCCTGTAGGAGCCGGTCCGCGCGGCTCTCTGGTTAATTCTATTGCTGAAAACTAGGGGTGGGGGGGGGATCAGTTCTGCGAAGGAGAACATTTTAGGGGCCAAATCATCCAAGCGTGCCGCGCAGATGGAACCGAGTATCCGGCCAATGGCTCGCGTCGGGGTCTAAGAGTGGTAGAGACTCAAGGATGGATCTTGCATCTCTCCCTTCTCCCGCATCCCACCCCGCCCGCCCGGAGCGGGGCGTGAGATTCCGGGACCAGACAGACAGACAGCGGCTCTCGGGGCAGACCGCAGGCAGAGGTCCCTTCCTGTCGGTTACCGGAGAGTGTTTAGCCCCGTGCCGGGAACAAAGCACAGTCCACCCGTCCGAGATTTCGTCGATTTTGGAATCTGTTGCCGGTTTGATGGGCACTCGGGTTCACAAAGCCTGGGGGCTGTTAAGAGAGGAGTCCCGGAGGCGGGGGTCGGGCCATCCCTGGCTCTGCGCCGGAGGATCTGGAGGGAGGGAGCGTCTGCGCCCGCGCTCAGCCGGCCCTGCGTCCCCAGCAGGCGAGGCTATTTTACGTCTCTGAAGACCCCACCTGGCTTCTGGCGCTCAGGAACCTGTAACTCCACACCCGGGTGCTTGGTCCGGGCTGGAGGGATGTTGGCACCTGGGACAGCGACTGCCAGACCTGCCCTTACAGCCACCTTGAGCTTAGTAGGCTCGGCAGGAAGGCTTTGAGTTTTATCTGATCCCAGTCTCTCCAAATGGCTCATCCTACAACAGAAAGAGAAATGCCTTTCCTCCCATCATTAATTAAGGTATTCTTTTACTTGTAAAATCTTTATTGTTGAAAGTATCACAAATGACCCCCTTTTTTCCCCCATTGACCCCTTCTACTCTGTACCCACCCCCCTCCCCAGGGTATTCTTTTATTTTTTATGATGCTGCTTACCTTTATCCATTCCCCATCTCCGAACCCTTCCTCTGAATGAATAAATAAATTAACCACACACACCCCTCCACTCCCAGCGCCCAGTCTGAGTGACTCTTGAAGCTAATCAGTTCCTTGACCGGTGTTTGCTTCTGTAACAGGTTTACTGCAGTAACCTGGCCTGACCCTTTGGGGTTAGCGTTTGGACAATTTGGGGAGGAGATTGTTGGCTTTGCTGCTGTTGTTGGTTTTGGATGAGTGACAGTCTATAACTGTCAGTCCCTAACCTGGTCTGCTTATGCCCATCATGGAAGGGCGTGGCTTTTAAGTGGCTTCTAGTATCAGGCACCAATCCCCTGAGAGGAACAAAAGAAATGGATTAGTCCCACAAATTGCAAGCAGAAAACACAGAATCCGTTTCCTTGAGGAAGGGTCAGATTTATTCCTTTTGGAAAGGGGCCCTTTTATTGAACATGCTCTTTGGCCCACATGCCCTCTGAGGTCAGTGCCAGCCTGCAGATGTAATAGGATTGTGGTGCCCTTTGTTTAGCCTGAAATTTTCTTCTGCGCCTTTAACATCAGTTTATGAAGCTCATTTGTTGAAAATTTTAGGAATAGTGTTTTATTCCACCTTCCCTCAGCATTTGTCTATTATTTGAGTGGCTCCCAGTTTTCTAAGTGAAATTGTGATAGTTTTCCAACTAGGCTGTGCCTTCTATTTAATTAGTATCTTCCTTACTCCCACTTTGCAAAAGAATTACTCGAAGGCAAATTAAAACACCTTTAGGGGCTTAATGCAGTGCTGGACATACAATAGATATTTTGGCCCATACTCATTCAACAAACAAATGGATAAAATGGGAAAATGCAGGTCAATAGATGGAGAAGAAAAAGCAGAGTGGGAGGTGAGTTTTATTCAGGGTCATGGCATCTGGATGGTTTGGGGACAGATCCAATCCAGTTTGTCCCTCACTCTGTATCCAAATGATACTCGAAAAGCTGCCTGTGCCGCTCTGTGCACCTTCACACCCTCCCTCTCCGCCTTCCCCGAACCTTCGGCCTCCTCGCTGCAGCACTTGCTGTTCATGGCCCCACAGCCGGGTCCTCTCTGGCCACTTCACCCCAGGGGAAGGAGGACCCTGCCCTGCCACCTTTGGAGCTGCAGGAGGTCGGGTGGGACAGAGGTGGGAAACCCCATTTGCCTCTGTTCCTTCTACTTCCTCCCCCCCACTTCTTCATCTTCCCACTTCAGAGACCCCCAACCCCTCCCTGAAACACCCACCTGATGACTCCTAACTTGCCACCCTAGGTGCTACCCTAGCGACTTGGAGCTGGCTTAGGCAGGGGGCACCTCAATTGGGGGGCTGCAGCAGGGAGACAAACCCTCTCACCTTGCAAAGGTGTTGCTGCCCAAGAATTATTTTCCTGTCTCCAGGTGCCATACTCCTGCCACCTCCTCCAGCCTCCTTTCCTGCACAGATGACCCCCATCTGAGGGT